TGCCTGTTTTTTTCAGGCCAAATGGTCAGTGATTACAAAGGAAGAAGTTTGTATCAATCCTGTTTTCCGGGTCTCCCTTAATAGAATGGGAAATGGATCCATGTTCAAAAAGAAAAGCAAAGAAAGCAGTTAGAAGTGTGAAATGAGTCACCACGTGTCTTCGTGGGATTAGCTCACAGCTTAGGGAAGAGTTTTATTTCTCATCGAAGCTATGGGCTGAACTCAAAAAACTACGCGAAAACAACATGTTGGCTCCAATTTGGGTAAAATAGCCATAGGTAATATTGGCAGGAAGAATCCTTTCTGGAAAACCTACGGAATTCATCAAAAGTTCGTCGGCTGACATGGCAAAACATATACTGCTCGCACTTGGATTTTATGGAAGCACTGATTTCACGCTCAATAGCCTTGCGCCTCTTTTCCGCCTTAATGGACATTTATGAAAAGAAACTGATCATAGACAAAACTGGGATGCTATGCTACCTGCTTTTGCAGCTGAACTTCAGACAGAACCTTTTTTGACACCTTCCTCTTCTTCTTTTCTGAAGGCTTAAACATTTTTATTGATTGTAGAAACTCAAAAAGTGCCCAGAACGAGCAAACCTCAATGAATTCTTCGCCATCACCATATGATACTTCTTGAACTTCAACACTCAGCTGACCCGTAATCTTCACATGTGAGGGCGCCCTGAAACAATATTCTAGAGAGATTGCAGGGGAGGTGTTCAAGTTATTACCTGAACTCAGACGGTTTTGTTAGGTTGTCTTCTATATCCAGAAAGCGCTCGTAGCTATCCAGCTTCATCATTTTGGGAGCATCGCTACCACCTTCGTAAAATGACACTAAAAGTGTTACACTGAGACCAACACGTGGAGATGATTTTGGAAATTAATTAGATGGTCATCCCTTGTAGCGCACGGTGGCAGGCTATTATCGTTAGCACGGTTACAATTAACACTAACAATCCTACTGCTCGGCAGCGACCCCAATGAAGATCTGCTTAGCTTAGCTTCGCCAAATGAGACGTCCCCTACTACAATTAATCG